TAGCAAGTAGCTAAACTAAGGATCTCAGAAAGGTTTTTGTAATAGATGATAAAATCTAAATGATGAGCGCATAGGGCACCATACTAAATAAATAAACTTCAATTAATAGGAAGCTGATGACAACAATAATGAATGATTGATTGTGGCAGAAACTAGTGTACAGCATACCTGATACGAGTTGGCATTTTCTGTGCATATCGTGTCAAATCTATGAGGTCTCAACAACTGGAACCTACTACAGTCTTTGTGGAGCACGTGACTGGAGGCTGTAATAAATGGTAGATGTGGAATGACAGAATTGATGTCAAATGGTCATCGGTGTTTACTAAGACACCAATAAGAGCGGGTGCCATTTCTGCCACCTCATTTGGGAGCCTCAGATACCGGCTTTTTATAATTGCTTGTTCATAGAGGGCTGGTTGATGGAATGTCAGAAAAAGGAATCTGACACACTTCATGAATGGATACGGCGAAACCAGACAGCAACCTTAAACCCATTTCACAGTTCACAGCAAATTCCATCTTGAGATATAGACTGGAAACTTCCTATGTTTGTACATTTTGCCCATTGATAAGAGTATTGTTTGCCCATTGTATTTAAAGGCAGAAAAGGAGGGAACAGGGTCACAAAACACATCCCTACTAAGACTTCTGTCAGGCCAACAATGGTGGCCAAACCCTCATTTTGGAAATGAGATCTGATAAACCTTGAACCTGGGTCATCTTTATGGCTACCCTAAATAAGTGTGGCATTGATCAGAGCACAAAGAGATCTCAGAGGCAAAAACAAGAGCAGCCCCAGGACCCCGCTGATCGACGCACACACCACTAATTCACCTCAATGGGCAGGCACCTCTGAGCTCAATTAACCCTTATTCCCAAGGCCACCCATAAACCCTGAGGTAAACACGGCTCTCCAGACCCTGGCTTTCTATCAATGAAATAGGTCATTCCTATTGGAGGCCGAGCTTGTAAATTCACCTTGCTAATCAAGAGCCCAGTGCTCCTGATGCAAGCAGGCAGGCACTAGAATCATGTAGCATTGACTCTGTAAGTCAGACAGTTTTAAACTGCCGAGGGCATTTGTGGTTTCTTCTGCCTTCTGAGGTGATTTCAAGAAAATATGCATGTTCTGGAGGCGAAAGAGGTGATCAGAAATGTCCCCACTGCAATTGTCTTCACACACGTTAGTTGTTAAATATGTACTGGAGTCTGAATGATTTCTCTCTTTCCTATTTTTTTTTTTTTGATTTTTCGCTTTCTTTTTCTTCTCAGGGCAGCCATTGTTCAAAAGCAAATTGGAAATCTGGTAATTAGGCCCTGACTCACGGTGTAGTATTAAAGTCCTGAGCCAAAGTTCAACACCCTGAAATGAAATTTAAACCAATTAATCTGTTAGATTTTTATCGCTTGTCCGTGTTTTCTCAGCAATTCCCCCAGCACGTGGCCTTTGATCAACTCTCATACAAACGCTAAAATGTGTGCCTGCTGCTAGCAAGACGGAATGACATTAACATGGTCCTCATAAAACAATCAGAGCAGAGAAGCCCTCGAACAGGCAGGGCATAGTAATATTTAATAAAAGCGCACACATAATCTTCAGAATTAGCATTTTGTGCCTTGCAGTACCTTTGGGAGAAGAGCTTTTATTTGTGGAGTGATCATTATAACAAAGAGGCGCTACCTAATAATTCCCACTTTAATTCTGCAATGTGCCAGGAGCATTTCAGAACCATTATGCTAAACTGGTGGGGTAATCATGTTATTGTCACAGTTTGAAGGAAGGAAAATCTCTACTTTGGTGGCTGGGGAGGGGTGGGAGAAGCATTAAAGAAAAGAAGGGGGAAAACTTTTATTTTTTAATGAAATTTAGAACCAGAAATGGGTCTGTTGCCCTTGTGGACAGAGTGTGAAAATATGCTGATGGGAAGGAGTCTTTCATTAATTAGACCATGAATTTTCTGGTTAAAAAAAAAAAATAGTCCTGCTTTCAAATCTGCCTCTTCAGTTCCCATTCCATAATGTGTTTATTTTTTTATCTTTTATTTATTTTTTTTTGAGGAAGAATGCCATTGATTATTGCAGCTTGTTATTGAACTTGTGTAAATCTCCTCACTTCCAAATTCTGCTGAATCCAGCCAGTGTGACTGTTGGAACAGTGATCTCTCTCTCCACTCTTGTGAGTGGATGGTATCAAGTGAGGCCCTAGCTGCTCCGGAAGGTTCTGACAGCATCCTTAGACAACTTACAGATGTAAAGGAGAGAGGAGAGACCCGGGGACTCCAAGCAACCCAGCTGATGTTAGGTGCTTGGCTGGATTCCTTTTGGTATTGATTTACTCTAAAAAGTACAAATGTCATCATGTGTCCTGCTTCACGGAGCGTTTTGCTAATATATTTCCTTATTATATGCTCAGTGGAAAAGCTTCAAGCCATATAAACATTAATAGAGTTAACATTAATAGCTGCCTTTTCCTGTCAAACCAAATCCAGTCACATTCCCTTTTCGTAAGGACCCACTATGGATAACTGATGTTCACCCTGTCTTCGAGACCCTTCTCTCAAGCACCTGGTCATGTGTCACCTGTAACTACACACACCACACACTCATGCACATAAAGGTTCACTATATATAATTTTTCAAGTTAGCTGGAGCACTTTTTGTTAACTTGCATTGTTGTTACCTCTCAAGATTGTTCCCTCTGAAATCCAGCAAGATATTATCCAGGTTGGCTCTTTACTCCACTGGAGAGTTGACTTATGAACCGCTGCTCCTAGAACTTTCCTTAATTTCAAGTGTTTCCAAGTGTGTGTGTGTGTGTACACACACCCATATATTCCCAAATCCCCATCCACCCCAACCCCCCCACCTATACATACACCCAGACCCTAAACACACACACACTTTGTACTTTATAAATAACAAGTGGATAGATAAAAAAAGGAAAGGAGTTAAGTATAGACTTGGCAGGTCTTGACCATGTAATTGTAAGGTCTCTCATATAGCTGCTCATATATGAAGGACCTTCCATGTTGTTTTACGTTATGGTAAGACGTTTGGAAGTGACATTATTTGTCTGAATAATTATTTCTGTACCATAAAAAAATAAAATCAGAAAACCCAGAGCTAATGTACACTAGCATGAAGGCCATTTTGCATTCTGCACAGGCAGATATAGCCTAGGCATTTAATGACACCACTGGAGTCTGTGCTTTGCAATCAGATGGGGTTCTAGTACCCAGTTCATCTAAGCCAATATTAAATATTTTCTCAAGGCATCCAAAGAGACAACAACATCTTTTGTATGTGACCTTAGCACCTAAGTATATCGAGTTATAAATCAATTTTTAAAAAAGATCTGGTGGATATTAACAAAATGTTTTCAGAATGGTTATGTTTTGTGAATTTTTCATAGTTGTAGAGATAAATGTATCTTATCTATTTTATAAACAGCTTGAAATGCTACATTGTATTATATCTTTGCTTCAGAAGCCCTTAACCATGTGTGTCAACGTTTTCATTTCAAGATAGCGTTTGTGCCCTTGAGACACTGATTCCCCCACACCCTGTGTAAGTCAAAAACTGGACAAGAATGCAGTCCAGTCATGGATCCTTTATATTTTCTTGATTAATTGCTTTGTTTGGGGATAAAGTGCAGGAAAGTAAATACCCTAGCTGCACTGTTTCAGCTGCAGATGCGTTCCTGTGAGTTCAGCCAACACCAAATGTTTGGTTTGGATGTTTTCAAACTTCTCGGTACACGGTTTTGAGGATTAATTTGAATCAGAACCAATGCCATCCTTCTTGCTTGTGTGGTGGCACGCGAACACTGGTCCCATTGGGACTGATGTTTTCTTTGCTTATTGCAGAAGCTAAAACATGAGACTTTGCCAAATTTGACAAAGTCCAATACTAATTGTTATTATTTTTCCGGCACTTCCCACTCACATTTAAAGTTAACTGGTGCTCCTCTTGGCATTAGTGCTTGGGAAGTCAGTCTTGAATACTTGATTTCCATTAAAGAGGATAGTCTCTCTTTCTCTCTCTCATCTTGCACAATATCTCACTTGCTTTCCAGTCTGCCTGTGGTATTGTTTGTGAAAGCAATCATTATCATAAGAGCAATCAGCATGGCACTGACGGGTAAAAGATCTTTTGTGGCATTGAGCTACCTTCAGGAAGGTTTCAAAATAATAATCCTACCACCCCATGTGTGTCTACTGATTAGGAAAACCACCTCCAGTCTGCATGCAGTCACAAATTTTGCAAATTATTTCCCTTCTCCAGAGGCCATTTGCAATACAAAGAAAAGAGATATGAGATCTTGAAAGAGTCAGCCTTAGGTTTTTATGCCCAGGAAACACAACAGAGCCAAGGTCATGAAGACAGTCTGTGGTTCAGCCAGGCCACACCTATTTGCTTTCGTAATTCACCTCAAGTGACCTGAGACTTTGAATCTATAAAATGGGAGCCATGGCACATCTTTGAAAAGATTTGTAATGAGTTTTAATGAGGAATGTTGCTGTGTTAGTGTTAAAGAGAGGAAAACTCTATGCTCTCTGCAGTCCTTCCTGCTCCAGCCTCCTGCTCACTTTGTTAGCTTTCCGCTGGATGGAAATGCTCATCTAAGAATGTAGCAGTTTTCATTTCATGAAGTATATTCAACTTTGAAGCAATTCTATAAGACTTCCATGGTATTCTAAATTTCTAGCATGTGCTAAGTTCAGTTTGTCTTCTGTGTTTAAATTTCCCAAGCTTTCAAGAGTGATAAAGATTTGGATGAAATATATGCATCTCAATAGAAACAATGACAAGGATGTCTTTAAGAACTAAAGTTGCTCCCTGGGTTTCTGGTCCTGATATAGAAATGCTGAGATCTGGAGGGACTTTCTGTTAGTGAAAAGATAAAAGATTTTTTTTTCTTTTTCTCAAGTTTCCCATCATTAAAGTTTGGTTCTAACAGCAGACTCCTTCTCTTTTTCATGTGTGTTGAAAAGCAGCTACTCCCTGTATCAAAGCCATCAGCCCGAGTGAAGGATGGACGACGGGAGGCGCGACTGTGATCATCATAGGGGACAATTTCTTTGATGGGTTACAGGTCATATTCGGTACCATGCTGGTCTGGAGTGAGGTAGGTGTTGTCTGAACATTAATATCTAATAGCTTGGTCTAGTTGAAGACACTGTCTATACCTGAATTTCTAATAGAATGTGTAGGACGTAGTGGTGCCACCCTGGGTGGCCCACCTACAGTCTACAGGACTTTGGAAACTAGGAGAGATGAACTGAGTTTCCCAGGAGGCGAAGGCTTGCTGCTGGAATCACTTCTGTCTAGCCCATGAGTACCAAAAGAGCTTTCTGTTTGGTGGTTTATCCTCTTGGACTTGCCATAGGGTGAAGGTCCTCTTGTATAATGGAAAGTGGAATGAAGATGCAAGGTTAGAAAATATGCAGGAAAAGCTATTCAAGCCTTAGCAAGTCAGTTCTGTGTGAATATTCCATATTTAGAATCTACTGTGATTTGAGCTTCAGAGACTACTATTCCTATGACAGTCCTAATGCAGGGTGCTCTTGAGTTACTCAGTGACACAATCAGTGTGATTCATTGAGGAACCCTGAAGAACCCAGGGTTTTTCCACAGCAGAAACATGTAGTTTTCAGGTACTTCATTGTGACTCCCACCATGTGACCATGACTGTTCTATGCATGCAGTGCTTTCAGCATGGTGATATGACCTGGCTGACTTGTCTGGCAAATAATTAACATTTATTTAAGATCTCAGAACAAGAGCATCACCATTTCAGGAGTCCACAACAGACATCTTTGTTCTCTGAATATGGAGCCTAGGTGTCTTAATCCAGCACACTTAAAGTCTTCATTTACCTGAAAGTATAAAATAAAAGCAGACTCAGACAACAAGAGACCACAGAGGTCGCTCAATCCCCCTTGCTTTCCAAATAGTACCACCTCTGCTTTACAGTCTTGGGATCTAGGCAGTGCCCTCGGCATCTGAGAGATTGTCACACCCTTCTCTCTGTACCATCACCAACAAATTCTTGGATGTAGCTTTTCTTGTTAAGTATCTTTAGCCTTAGTGATAAATAGCCATTCAGTTAAGAGTAGTGTCCCAGAGTACTCAGGAGGACCAATGTGTATGTAAACACACAGGCATACACACACACACACACACACACACACACACACACACACACACACGAAAGATGTCAGCCTTTTATATAATCAACCTTGGGGTGTGAACCAAGCTTTGTGACTTCCCATCCCACTTGTCTTAGCAGGTGCCACCATTTAGCTCTTCTAGATGCTTTATTTGTTTTCCTCTTGGAGTGGCCATGGGAATAAGCTGAGAGCTGGCATTAATAGTAGGGCATGTTTTCCCTAGTAACAAACCAAAGTGGATCTTGTCCATTTTAAAGCTATCCATGCGCTCTGTGCATCAGCAGCCACCTGCTCGATGTGCCAGTTGCCCTTGCCAGCGTGCTGTGCAGCCTTGGTAGTTTCACACTCTGGCCAGAGCATTAAAAGCTCTTACAAAGCTGAATCAGAACCAGGCTTCTCAGTCCATCCAATGAACTGTTATCTAAGCTAGAACATTCTGGGCAAGAAAAGTGTACTAAACGTCCCCCTGCCAACTGTACTCCATTTTCACTGGAAGCATCAGGGAACACACGGAAAGGATCATCTCCATGGCTTAGTTTGTTGCCAGCTGGTGTCTTCAGTCTGATGTGAACAGTGGCCTATATGAGAACAGTCTTTTCCATATCTTGCAAGCCACGTCTTTAACATCTCTGTCACTCTTTGAACTCTTTTATCAGGAAAGATGGGAGTGGAGAAGAATTAACCCAAGGTGGTCTATTGCTCTGTCATGTCAATCAGATGAAGACCGGGGTGAGAATCAGGATGGGCAGAAAGCCTCATGGACTTGACAAAAGAGGGTTAAGCCAGGGCATTCTGAAGAAACTTGTGCCTATTACAGCCCAAGTATGCTCTGTCTTAGGTTAACATCTAATTTAGGCTAACCAAGGTTAATATCCAAATTGCTTCAAAAGATGTGTTTTCCAATACTGAACTCCATAGAACACATAGAAAGGAGAGTCCACGGAAGTTGTACAGCTACTCTTCCTCCTCCTCCACATCCCTGATGCCCTGCCGTGTAGGTGCCTGAAGCCCCACCTCATAATGCTTGCTCAAGGCCACCTTTAGAAGGTACGCATCATGGCATTTGCTGGTTCTTTGCTCTGTTCACCTTCTGGAGTGTCCTAGTGAGCTATGTCTTACATGAGGAGTCCTATCTTGGTAAAAACTCACATTGTGATTTCTAAGAGAATTTAGCAGATATCCTTGTAGAATTAACAAGGTCACATAGCCAGATAGTGCCAGACAGTTGATCTGATCCATACAGTGTAATCTTTGAGAAGTAGACATCTTATTAACAAGAACAAATGTAATCTGAGCAAGGGAACAAGAAAGGGGTATGGAAATGCAGGAGGAAAAGGTGTAGAATAAACAGTGATTTGGTAGCAGAGAAGCATAGCAATAGCAAAGGTGGAAGTGATGATGACCATTAATCATAAAATTTATATAAAAGATAAATGAAACAAAAATGAAATTCTGTGACCATCTTTTGTTCCTGATTGAGCAAAATAAATGATCAATCCAGTTCAAAGCCATTTTTGTCAAGGCTTGGGTCAGATAGGATCAGAGCTCAATATTGTATTGAACACGTGGTATATGTGAAAAAGCTCTAGGAGAATGCAGTGTGACTAAGTAGCTGGCATTCTTGGAGCCCCTACTTCCAGCCAGGCAGCATGCCGAGGGTTGGCTATGGCTGTCATGCAAGCTTGGGGATGACAGCACACAGTGCTGCTCTCTTTCAGGGACAGTAGCAGGAGCTCAGGGAATGGGAACGGCTGTAAGCTGTCTGCTTCTAAGTCTTCCTTTGCTGGAGAAGGGACATAACCCTCTGACTTACCTGTGGGGCTCAACCTCACAACAAATCCTGCTTCAACCTGGATCGTGGTCCCCATCTGGAAGGTTTAATGCCTGAGAGTAGGGTAGGATGCCAACACTTGCCAACACTGCCCCATGCTTGGGGGGTCCCTACCAGTACTGCCACCTTCACAGTCTTGTGGAAGTGGCACGCACAGTCTCAGATAGGAACTAGAGAGATCCTTTTTTTTTTTTTTTTTTCTAGTTGGGGTCAATAAGTTCTAGGGAGAATTTATCCCCGTGTGTGTGTGTGTGTGTGTGTGTGTGTGTGTGACACAGGCAGTAGCCAAGGGGTAAGACAACTGCCTGGGCTTCTTCTCTGGAACTAGGTCCCTATTTATCCAATGTCATTATTTCTAACCCTATGATTGCTGGGCACGGCATTTCTAAGAGGTCTGGTACATAGAATCTGAAGTAGAGTTTCTTTTTTAAAAGTCCTTTCTCCACTTCCCCTGCTCCTTAGCCCAAACCACCAAGGCTTGTGCACCAAGACAATCAGATAAATAGTGGTCTAGATTAGCAGTTGATAACTATTATGTGCAGTCTTTTTTTAGCTGAAGAATTAAGAAAAAAAAAAAAGGAGGCAGAGAAAATAGGACCAGCTTAATTTACCTTCAACTGTGCTCTTCTCCCACCATATCATCTTTTGCAAATGAGTAGTTCAGCTCAGCTCCCTGCAGTCCCTTGAGGGTTGGGAGAGAAAAAGGTGGCACTCCACAGGAGCCACCGTCTGTATGTGCCCACCCTCACGGGATTCTTGTGACTGCATTTTCCATCCTTTTGTTCTTTTTAAAATTGTGTCTTGCTTGGATGTTTCTTTCCTATTCCTCCTTTTATTCAGTTATTTTACTGATATTCTTAGGGTCTTCTCCCCGCCTTACTCCCAATTAATTAGGGAAAAAATATTGTAGTGTTTTATCTATAAATCAAGAGAAAGTCCGAGGGTTGATGAGAGCTAATGTTGAATGTGGGGTGAGTCTTTTTATTTTTCTTTCTTCCTTTCTTTCTTTTCTTGACCAGAAATGTGCTTGATTGTTTTTGCTTTACCACCCACAAGGCATGTGGAGCAGGGAGGGGCTTGTGCTACTGTTCTGTGCAGCTCATCATCATTTCAGTATCTCTTCTGGATTCCTTCAATTTCTAAAGAGTGAGTAGTAGTTGGCTTGCCCGCTGGTTGTCTAACGCTGGGATAGGTACCATGGGCAATTAAAGTCAGGCTTTGTGGGATCTGCTGTTTTACTTGGAAAGACAACTTGCTCCCATGAAACAAATTAGAGAGTTGCATAACATTTATATAATCTAGTTTTGTGGCTTGCAACTCATGGCAAGGTTCTAGAAGACAGAGGGAATAGAAGAGTCAGAAGAGGACGGTTTGGAAAACCAATCAAGTTCCAATTATTTTTGGATGGCTCTGTGGTAGATATTTTAGGCTCTCATGGTCCTTTTATTTAATCACAGAAATAACAAAGAGGATACTAAGGTACTTAATTGGCCTTTTTTTTTTTTTTTTTTTTGAGTGCAATATTGGGATTGAGGGGAAGTGGCAGAATCCATCCAAGCAATAGTGTAGAGTATGGGGGTTAGCAGCGGACAAAAAGAGTCAAGACTGGGCAGTTAATCCATTCATATTGCTCAGAAAATAATGATATATTCAGTGTTGGTGACTGGGCCTCAGTTTCCCCATGTGGAAATAAAGATTCTTTATTGCATTTTCTTTAAAAATCAGTCCTCGTCCAGTTTCTTTTTTCTAGAGGGTACTCTCCAGAATTCTCTTATCAGAGTCAGAAGTAGACAGAGATGTGGATGGGAGGGACCTTTCTTTCCATTTATTTTCTCTGGACCACACCTGGCAGTACACAGACACCAAGCCCATTTGCAAAAGGATTCTTAGAACATCACTGAACCAATTTAATTAGTCACAAAATTGGCTTTACCTATTGCTACATCTCCAGTTAGTACTTTTCCTTTCTCAATTCCTCAGTCTCTAGTATTGGGTCCAAACAAGAAGTATATACCATACTATCTTCCAGATAGTACATGGAATGCTGGTTTTGGGGGATATTAATAGATGCCCCATGCCAGATGAGAGAATGAAATTCTTTTTGCCCCATTAACTTTGGTCAAT